AAAAATAACTTAAGATTAAAAAAAATTGTGAAGTATGGGAATTACCTGTTCATGGTGGGTTCTTTACATGGAATAATAAACAAGGTGGGGATATGAGAATTATGTCTAAGTTGGACAGAACATTGGTTAATCAAGAATGGTTAAGTGCATTTCCTGAGTCACATACTACAGTATTGCAGGCTGGAATCTCATATCACAATGGCATTCTTGTAAAATAGGGAGAAGAGTATGTTGGTAAGAAGAAATCATTCAAGTTCTTCAATATGTGGATGCAGGATCCTGAATGTGAATCAATTGTTAAGAAGCATTAGGAACAGGAGATAGAAGGGAGTAAACAATATCTAGTGTTTGTCAAACAGAAAATGCTGAAAAAGCCTCTTAGAGAGATGAACAAAAAGAATTTCTCTAATATTGAGGAAGCAGAAATGAAATGGAGGCAACAATTGGAATCCATACAAGGCAGATTGCAGGATGATCCATTTAAAGAACAACTCCAGTAGGAGGAAAAGGAGGTAACTAAAGAGTATGTACAGGCAGGGAAAACAGTGATCCGTTTTTATCAGTAGAAATTGAAGGAAAAATGGTTCCAGGAAGGAGACCTAAATACTAAGTATTTTCATGCTAGCCTCAAACAGAAACTTGGAAGATGCAAGATAAGGTCATTTACTGATGATCAAGGGAATTTGATTGATGATGAAGGAAAAGTTGAAGAGCATTTTCTTGAATATTTCCAATCACTGCTAGGAACTAGTGTTTCCAGAACACCTGTTCAAAGTGGAATTATCAGTACAGGGTTTAAATTGTCTGTAAATCAGCAAATACTCCTGACTGAGATGTTCACTAAGGCAGAGGTGAAGGAAACAATGTTCCAAATTGACATAAATAAGAGTTCAGATCCTGATGGATTTAACAGTGGATTCTACAGGAAGATGTGGCATGTTGTAGGAGATGATGTAAGCACAGCAATGTTGGAATTTTTCAAAACAGGTAAATTACTTAAACAATTGAATGAAACATTGATAGCTTTGATCCCTAAGGTTGTTGTTCCCAGAGATGCCACTGAATACAGGCCTATTGCATGTTACAATACTGTATATAAGTGCATTTTCAAAATGATTTGTAAGAGGCTAAGTTTGATACTGGATGAGTTGATTAGACATTAATCAGGGTGCCTTTGTAAAAGGAAGAACTATCTTGCAAAACATACTGCTTACTTAGGAGTTGGGAAGGTTGTATAACATGAAATCAGTAAAGCCAAGTTGCCTCTTGAAAGTTGACCTGAGAAAGGCCTATGACTCTATTCACTGGGATTTTATTGAGGAGATGTTGAAGGAATATGGCTTTCCATCCAAAGTTTATTGGATGGATTATGGAGTGTATTACAACAACATCTTTCTCTTTAAATATCAATGTGAGTAGTATTGGTTTTTTCCAAGGGAAAAGAGGGTTAAGACAGGGTGATCCAGTGTCCCCTTTACTGTTTGTTATGGTAATGGAATAATTAACTAGGCTGTTTAAAGTAGAAGCAAATAAAGAAGGTTTTCAGTTTCATCCATACTGTGATAAGCGGAAAATTACCTCTTTAAGCTTTGTAGATGACTTGATCATTCTGTGTGGTGCTGATGTTCATACAGTGGGAAGAGTTAAGGAGATGTTGAAGAAATTTGAAGCAACAACTGGTTTGAGAGTAAACTTAACCAAATCCAATCTATATGTGGCAGGAGTATCAGATGCTATTACTAATCAAATCCAAGACATTATTGGATTTGAAAAAGGGAAATTTCCAATGAAGTATTTAGGCATGCGAATTGCACTAACTGCTTGGAGCAAGGCTGAATATCAGAAAATGGTAGATAGGGTTACAGCAAGGATCAATGCTGGACATCCAAGCATCTCTCATATGCTGGAAGAGCCTTATTGATCAATGCTGTTCTGATGAACTTGAATTCATACCGGGCTAGCATACTCCTCATTCCACAGAATGTGATTCAGGATATTGTGAAGGTTTGCAGGGAATTTCTATGAGGGAACTAGGAGAATGGAAGGAGAGTATCACTGGTGGCATGGAATTATTTATGCAGCATAAAATCAAAAGGAGGTCTTAACATTAAAGAGCCAAGTTCCTGGAACAAGGCTTTAATTCTTAAGCAACTTTGGGATCTTATTAATATGAAGGAAAGCCTCTGGGTTAAGTGGATGCATATCTACTATATCAAAGGCAAGTCAATATGGAATTGTAAAGCTCCTCAAGATAGCAGTTGGCACTGGAAGAAATTGTTGATGACTAAAGATGATATACAATCAGGGGTGATCAATGGAGTATGGCAAGGAAATGGAGGGAAGAAGTATACAGCTAGGAGTGGATATGCATGGCTAAGGGGGAATAAGAGCAAGGATCATGCATCCAAGATCATTTGGAGCAATTTTTCTGTTCCAAAACACAACTTTATAAGCTGGTTGGCTTGGAAGAAAAAGTTGCTTACTGTTGATAGATTACAGAAGATGAATATCTTTCCTGATGATCAGAAGTGTGTACTTTGTAAGAATGGAGATGAAACATTTGAGCACTTGTTTTTCAAGTGTGACTTTGCTCAAGCAGTACTAATGAGGATCAAACAGTGGCTGAGCCTGAATATGATACCAGACAGATTTGCAGTGCAACAAATGCTGAGATTGTGGAGGTACAAGGGTGTCCAGAAACGTATATTGTATGCTGTTCTCAATGCAACTCTTTACCACATATGGAGAGAAAGGAATTGCAGGAAGTTTAGAGGTGAAGAAATGCAAGTAGATGATTGTTTTGTTAGAATTAAACAAGAAGTTCGATGGATAGTTTTGTATTACTTGTCAAAGAAGAAACTGAAAAGTAAAGAGAGATTTTTTAAACAGAATAGGGTTGAAGGTTGAGTAGTCTGATGACTGAGGTGTAATTAAACATTGTACAGATATGAGTTTTGTGAAGCTGATCAATACAATTACATTTACAAAAAAAAAAAAAAACTAAGATTAAAAAACTTAATGACAAATTTTATTAAATCATTATTCATTATTACTTTTTTAAAAAAAATAATAACGGCGTGAACTACAAATTTCAATTACTCCAAACCACAGTATTACTGTATCATTTCATCTGTTAATTAGGAATTCTATACATATATTTACATTATGACATTCTTGATCATCCTCTTTTTTTTTTTCCCAAGTGATTCCTTTAATAAATATAAAATATTCACCCACGCAATAATGTGGTTCTTTTTCTTTGCTGATAAAAAGTACGAATAAGTACTCGTGATGATGATGTTGCATTCGAATGAAATTTTTCGAGCCAAAATTCTATCGTCAAGTTAAAGGAGAATTCTTTTATAATTAAAGTTTACTCGTCCACTTAATTGTTTGTCCAGCTATGAATGTCGACGACAAAATCGATGAGATTTTCTTAAAATGAAATTTTATTCGTCGACTCTTCTTTGACCTACACATCTCGACGAGATAGTCGACTAAATTTTTAAACTGAAAATTTTTCTCGTCTACTTTAAAGTCGAGATACTAAGTTCAACGAAAACGTCGACGGAATTTTATACTTTAAAAAATTAAATTTCATCCGGCAACTATTTTGTCTAGATTTTATAGTTCCACTCATCGACTTTCATATTCGTTGTCCAAATTTTTTAAAAATGAAATTCCACTCGTCTACTTTATCATAGTTGTGCGTAACTTGACGGAAAAATAGAGTAAAGTCGATATGATATTTTTCCACCGCCCATAATTATTTATATGTTGATAGATACTAAACATGAGCCCTATGTAGATATAAGCCATCGTCCCCGGGATTAATGTGTCCAACTTTTGTAACTAGTTTTTAGAAATTGGACTGTACTTTAGTTTTAAAAATTGAACAATTAATATTACGAAACTGGATGAATTATCCTCCCATATGTTAGATGATCCAGATTTTAAAATGTAGTAATAGTAAAAAAGTGCAGAGATTTTTGAGCATAAGTAGGCTGGCTACTCCGTTGGGCTGTCCTGCTGATTTTTACTTCAGGCCTTATATGGTGGATCGTTCCGATCCTGAATTCGAGTCTGGACAAGTCTGTATCAGGGAGAAGGGAACCACCACAAGCATGGCTTTTGTTTTCAAATCCGGGATTATGCTATGTGTTAGTCATTGGTTGGAGTCTCCTCCTGTTCCAAACATGATTGAACTCAATTCTTACATGGTTGCTGCTATCTCTGGAGGGAGTGAAGATTTGCAAACAGAGGTACTAGTACTTAGTAGTAGTCTACATTATGCACATTGTTTTTCCTTGTCAAGCTTAGCTGCAATTTGAAAAAACTAACAATATTTTAGTGCCAACGAATCGAATGCTTGGAGAAGAGAAGAGTCCTTGTTGCGGAGGCAGCGCAGTGGGTGGCTGATCGTGTGTGTTCTACCATGTGTGTAAGGATACCATGTGTCCGGTCCTGTGTCGTGTGAGCCGTGACGGAAAATTGACGGTCCTTGTTGGGGGCATCCATGAACAGGAGGACTCTTCTTCTTCTTCAGGGTAACAACCCTTGTTCTTGGCCACCGGGTCCGGTGCAAAAGTAGTTACGTATCGGCTACAAAAATTACTGCGTTACGATATGTCTATAGATGAGGCTCTAGAGCTGGCAAAAAAAAGCAGTTTGCCGTTCTGCGGGGATCATATAACTGAACGTGGTGGATTTTTGTCAGGTGTTTACCTCTTAGGCAGCTACGGGTGTAAGAAGCTCATTTCTGGTGATGACATTGAAGAATGGCAAGAGGAGCACTACGAAAATGTCTCAGTTTGCACACCTGTGTACTACGATTTAGGCTCTAGTTTGTTTCTTTTTTAATTCATCTGTGGCTGGCTAGTTTTATAACCTCTGTTGAACTATATAACTTTAAACATTTCTTGATTTTGTCTTTTGGTTTGTTAGCTTAACAGGCAAATGCATAACCTCCCAATGTTAGATACACATTTTAGGGTAGTCTACACCTTCAACAATTGTTATTTACAAAAACTACTGTATATTGTTTCCTCCCATCCTTCCTCTATCACTCGACATGCTTAGCTGTTTCTAATCTGTTTCTGCATCTTTCCTCCGGTACAAAATCTAAACCTACACTCACTACATAATTTGTGCCTTCTAAATAAGACCGATATGGAGGGGAGTATTATGCAATCTTTCAAGAGCCGCGATACATTTTACATACTTTTGGCAACCCCCTTCGGTTGGTAATCGTATCCATCATACAATCTGCTTTTCCTATTTACCATATCAACACTTCAACAGTAATACCAGCTATCAGCTTTTCCCTCTGACTATTTCCCCTGAAATATACACAAACGAAACATGAGGCATTACAAAACTATGCTGAACAAAAACATAAATACTGAGAAGCTGAAAGAATTCAGTTAATGAAGATTCAGCTTGCCTTTTTGCGACGAATAACTGAACTTCTTGGCCTTGTTTTTAAAGATTCCTTGGTGTAAATTAGAAATGTCCCAGTTGTTTAGTTCTATTCCCTTCGAAATCATTTCATTGGCAACCTTTATTGCCGTCTTAAGACATCCACTTTTGTAGCAGCCGTACAATAGAGTATCATAAGTCACCACATCAGGTACTAGGCCATTGTCAATCATTTCTTCGAAAAGTTCAAGAGCAACCTGCATATTGTTCGACTTGATCAAAACATTATAGCAAATAACATCAGCTTTTCTACCCTTTACTTTCATTTCTGCCCAAAGGATCCGAGAATGGAAGTCTTTTCTGCTGTCACATCTGGAGCATCCTTTAAACAAAACAGCGTATGTGACAACATCAGGAGTTATACCCCTACGCTTCATATCTTCGAAAAGGACACAAGCTTCATCCAATTGATACTGTTTACAATACCCATCCAACATTATCGTATAAATAACCACATCTGGAGACATACCCCTGAGTATAAGATTATCAAACACCCACCTTGCCTTCTTGATCGCTCCCGACCTGCAGAGACCAGTAATTACTTTATCAAGCATTGTCCTACAAGGTTCATCATCTGCGTACAAGAAGAAAACTTCACCTTCCATGAGAAGGCCGTCCACAAGTGTCCGACAACTTCTTTTTAGTGGAACTCGTCGCCTCCCTAAGCTCAAGGAGAAGTTCATAAGCCCGTTCTGCATGGTGTTCACAATAACCATCTATCATGGCCAAATAATTTTCCATGCATTTTCCTCCAAACTGTCAAAGAACTTTTTAGCCTCTTTTACCTTCCCACCAACGGAGACAATATCCCTTAAAGTTCTCACTGCCTTTTTCTCTTTTCCGAGTTTGCATAAGGCATCAAGTACAATATTATGCACAATTTCATCAAGGTAAATTCCCAACTTTTGAAAGCCTTTGAAGTGGTCTACTACCCCCCTAAACCTTCCTGTTTGACAAAAGCATTGAAGAATTGAGCTCACGATCACACAATTTGTTTTCACATTTTTAGATACCATTTCACGTTGTAAAGCCAAAGCTTCGATGATATCTCCAGCTTGACAATAACCTTGAATTATGGCACCAAATGGAGGAAGCGGGTGTGGCCCAAAATAACTTTGCTCATAGCCATTTACTCGAAGGGCTTTGCTCTGAAGGATACTCAGGTTTGGGTCTTCAAATGTTGCTCACATGGAGACAAAGAAATTTTCCTCTTATTGCTTATGATTATACTGTGGTTCTGCGTGGTCTCGTTAAGGAAAAGAAAGTAAAAGAAGCGGAGGATTTGTTGCACGACATGGATGAACATATGAACGGATGTTAACAACAAGGATTACCAACAAAATCCTGTTGATTCTACCCAATAAAATCCAATAGAGGACCATATATAATTACATCAAACAGTTATATGCTATTGCATGTCAACATTCATGCACACATATATTTTGATTAATTTGGTGTAAAATATACAGTTTCTTTACTGATTTGTTTCAATTATTTCTTTTCCTCATCTAACTCAAGATCTCCCTTTTCAATTGTGTTTTATCACCCTACGTTCTCATCTATACCGCTTACATTCCTCTACTGGCAATAAACGAAATTGAGCAGCTGGGCTGAAATGTACTTACTCAACAGATGCTTATGCTATATGTAAAGGATTTCAGTAGACAGAGTAATTATCAGTGAAACAGTAACTTTCTTTCTATCAAGAACAAATCCACATTACATCAGAAAACAGAGAACAAAGTATGCATAAATGAAGCCTTCAAAACTAGGAAGCTGAAGAGCCAAACGCTCAAAGGTCAGACCCTACTCAAACTAATCCATAACAAAAGACCAAGTTGCAGTCACTTAATCTAAGATTACAAATATTTTAGCCGTACGAACATATATTGTGCAGCCAGCTGCCAAGATGAAAAGGTATTTCAGTATTTCACTCTAAAGACGTTGAGATTTTGAACACAGTTTCCCAGAAACCTTTACATTTCAGGATCAATAATCATCTAAGTTATCATGTTATAGAAAACTTTTCATATTTTCCAATGAATCTTTAAAATTACTTATACAAAATTTGGTCTTCCCTCAGCAACTATTTCCATGTATAACCCAGTGTAAATGAAGTACAACCCATAAATAATGAAAAATCCATATTGTATCATTCAGTCAGTTATGTTTAACCACCATTCTTGGAATCATGCTATGTAAAAATATCAATAGTAACACAACACAAAATAGGGGGGTTAAGATGCCACAAAGTTTGGTACTTTAAGTAATAGGAACTTAGCAAAAGACAATCTTTTTCACTTTGCTTTTCCCTTAAACTAGCTTAATAAATAACATAGCTCTTATTGATAAAAATTACAGTAAGGAATCATATTTTCTGGTTCAAAATGCCGTTAGCTTCCAATAGAACAGAAAATGTAGCAGAGATTATAACAGAGAAAGATAGAAATTTTACCGGAAGTTACATCGATGAAGGAGCCTCCTAGATAACACCCACATCACTGGTGGCGATAGTGGCTCAGCTGATGGGAAGAAGAGTTGCAGCATCGTCGGACTGTGGGGAGGAAGAGGCGGCACCCAACGTTAAAGTGAAATTATTTTCGTTTTTCATTTTTTTTGAAAGTGGTAGTACATAATAATAAAAGGTTTTTTTTTTTTTTTTTTTTTGTAAAAGAATAATAAAAGGTTAATGTTGTCCTTAGGTGTATGTTGCCTAGAATAAATGATGATGATGATACAATAAGGAGCATTTTCACCGTCGGCATCATCAAGTTCCTCGCCGATTACCAATCAGCCATCAAATCGTTTCATCAAGCATGGAACCACATTCAATCACACAAAAACATATAAACTTTTTGTAAGATGCACCCATTCATTGTAATTTCACCCTACTCAAAAAAAATTGCAAATTCTTCTTCTTTCATTGAATTTCACAGTCTTAGACAATGTAAAAGGAATGAATGTTGAAACGTGTAGAGGTGTTATTCTGAAGATCGTAGATCGTAAGAAATCACGATTCGCAAATAATTAATCACCAGATTTTTCGATCCTATACCTCAATTATACGCATAGATTTGTCATACAAATACCAATGTTTGTTGGATTAGGAGCGTTGCTTTGTTTACTAAAGACGTCTTGTAGACATTTGAAGTAACAGAAGCGTAACAGCATTCATTCACTATGAGGTTGAGCTTCTAATGTGGTAGCACTAGAAACTACAAACGGGAATCCGAATTGCACAAACCATAATATATATGCAACAGAAAATTCCGATTAGTGCTCATTACTGTTACAAATTAATAGAGATTTATACAACGTGTGCTGTTCATTGGAAAACTCTTTTTTTTTTTTTTTATAGCATCAATCTAAATCATCAAGATATTTAAGGGCCGCCGTAAATTGTTCTTGGGATGATGATGTCTCCAATGTTGTTGTGCCATGGGTCTGCCAAGTGAGTTGCCAAGTTCTCCAATGGTCCGGTTCCTGGGTACGCCGACTGTTGAACAACAAATCCCACAAAAGCCAACATTGCAAGCCGCCCTGAAAAACAAACAATTTCATTTCCAGGTTTTTTTTTACATTTGTTGAACTAAAACAGTATAATAAAACGTGACTAATGTTTCCGAATAAAAAGAATATAGTTAGTGGGCTTGTTTACCATTCTTGATTTCCTTGACTTTGTACTCTTCGAATTTGGCAGGGTCCTTTGAGAAACCCAACGGGTCAAACGCTCCACCTGGGTACTTCTTCTTCTCTATATCCTTCTCTTGAGTTCTTTGGTGCTCAACAAAGGCAATGGCAAGGAATTCAATCACCAAAATGGTAGGCAAAGTTCCCCATGGAACTGGCTGACCCAAATAAGTGGCTTGTCCTCCAGGTACGGCAGCCCATTCCTGAGCCTTCACCCAATTTCCCAACCCCAAAGCTTCCGGAATCAGGATTCCAGGCTGCCCAAAAAAATCAAATCTTTAACATTCAGATTCATCAAATCAAATCAAAATAGGAAACTTTCAGATTGTTTAATTTACCACAGCAAGCATGGCCCATCTGCAGTGGTAGACTTCAGATTCCTTGTATCTCTCCAAGTTCTCTGGAACTTCACCTAAACGAAGTGGGTCGAATCCAAAGTCCCTGAATCACACAAAAAAGGTACAAATTAATCAACTTTTCTCTTCGTTATACGGGGAAATAGAAATTAAGTAGCTATTGTTTACTCACCCTGGAGCAGAACCATCAAGGTAAGGTGGGCGGGGCTGGCCGGGCATCCAGTCGGCGGTCATGGTGAACCTGCCGGAAGAGACAACATTGCCGGGAAGTGAAACAGAGGCGGCGAATTTAGACTTTGATGAAGAAAGGATTGATGGGCAAACGGCGGCAACGCCGCAGCTCAATCTATTAGCTGCCATTTTTCCTTCTTCTTCTTCTTCAGGGGAAACAGAGTAAAAGGAGAGGAGAAGAAAGAATGAGGGATTTTTGGTGGAAGTGGAAGAAGTGAGAGATTTGATGAGTGTATATGGGAAATGAAAGGGATATAGAGCGAATCCAAAAGTTGATTGTTATTGGCTAAGGAGGCTTGATTGGATTATCCAATTGGGCCACGTAATATCTGGTTAAAATCTGTGGAGATATCTATGTGGAGTTTGATCTAGTGGTGTGTGGGGATCTCTTTGATCTGTTTCTGTGGTTGAAGTTCTTTTTGATCTTCCCAAAAGATCAAGTTGTGAGTATATTTTAGTACAAACACACTGCGATGTAAATTGTAATTTCCACCTGGAAAATTGTAAAGTTGATGGAATGAATATAAAGAGGGTAAATTGAAGTTTTTTAATCAACCGTTTACCAAAAAAAAAAGTTTTTCAATCAACTCAACATAATATATACTTCTGTCCCACAATTATTGTCCACGCTCGATTTTCACTAACCATACGGGGAATCCAAAAGGTAGTCTCAAAACTTTAAAACTACCATAAGTTTTAAGTCTCATCATTAACAAGTGTGATGAAAAAAATCATTCTTTTTTGTCGATTGTTGAGAGTTTATAAACTTACATGGCAAATTGGTAATGGAAATGCCAATGTGCAGAAGTGAAAGGAGGATGTATCATATGTATAACAAGAACTTGAATAATTTTTGTTACCGCATCCAAAATGGGAAATCAAATCACGGTAATTTCACAATTAGGAGCTATAAACCATTTTTTTTCCCTACATATATTGAAACTAGTGGATGACTAGTGCGTTGCACGGGAATTGTAAAAAAAAATGTTAAGAACTTGTTTTATAAGATAAAAATCAATGGTTAGGTTTATAAAAATTTTTTTACAAAAAATCACATTTGGTTAAATTATAAAAATAATTTGATAATCAACTTTTAAAAATGCATATAACTTACACCATAAATGCTATGCAAAAATTATGATAATAAACTTAAAATTTTATTATTAAATCATTAATTAAGAACATCTAAAAAACTGTGAATAGGTTGACGGCGAATATTGAAATTCCGACACCTTCTTCGATCATAAACGATTAAATTCATAATATACTCTTCAACAACTACAGTGTGAACTATCACCAGAAAACTGTTCTCGGCCCTTACAGGTGATACGAAATTCAACATATAAATCTCCAAAATTAGTGCGCCAAAAGACATAATCTCGTGAATTCCCTCTAAATTATGATGGATGACGACTCGAAAGTGTCTACGAAAATAAAAAATCATAAATAAATAATTTTCCAATCTAGTGTAACATTCAAACAAAAAAAAAGGAAAAAAACAACAAAAAACTATGGCCGAGATATTAACAAACCATTGTCGGTATATTTTTCTAGCGCTATGCATAGGTACTTTACATCCATTGAGAGTGTCTGCATTGAACATAAACCCGTATTGAATTTTTTTTAAAAAAAAATCTGTTTGAAAGCAACTCATTAAATAGAAAAAAAAAACATAAGAAAGGAACAAAAGTTTCAAAGGAAAATAAAATAGAGAGACATACGTGATTGTTTTGAACTGTTTTATGTCATGGAGTTTAGATAGAACAATATTTAACAAATCCCGTATAAGATTTAGAATAGGAGTAATCTAGGATAATTTAGATTCTATTTAAGGTTTCATTATCAGATTACTTATTTTAAAAAATTGTTGCAGAAAGTTAAAATAAAGTTATCTTTTACGGTTTAGATGCATTGTAATCACGGTTAAATCTATTTTTTTTTTACTTCCAACTTAAGTGAACTTCCAATTTGATGCCAAGTAAGCTATTTTCATCATGATTTAATATATAGAGTGAACCTTAAAACAAGTCATCAACCTTTAATATATTTCCACTCTAGGTTATCAATTAAATTTATTTGTAACACAGGTTACCTTACTAAAGTTTTAATCCATTTCAAATTATTTTGTTAATTTTGGCCGTTAAATAGTGACGGAAATCTATTTTTCACATGTTTTTGGGTTCAGGGGTATTTTTGTCATTTTCTTATTTTTTTATTTTTTAATCTTTTAAAAAAATTAATTTTTTTTACAATTCTTCTTCTTATACTTCCTAACTTTTATATACTGGTAGTATAATTCTAAATTTGTTTTAAAAAAATTCTTTTTGTATTTTAACTTCTAGATTATAAAAAAATTTTAAAAAAATTTAAGAAATGAAGAAGAAAAATTCGAGTTAAAGTAAACATGAAAATTAATAATTTACCATTTTAAACAAAAATAAAATTAAAAGAATTAGCTAAGACAAGTTGTTTCTTCTAGGTTATTTAATTTTTTTCAACTCGATTGAATTATTTAATTATTAATTTTCACGTTTCTTATTAATAATTAAATAATTCAATCGAGTTGAAAAAAATTAAATAACCTAGAAGAAATAACTTGTCTTAGCTAATTATTTTAATTTTTTTTTGTTTAAAATGGTAAATTATTAATTTTCATGTTTATTTTAACTCGAATTTTTCTTCTTCATTTCTTAATTTTTTTAAGTAAAATTTTATAATCTAGAAGTTAAAATATAAAAAGAAGATAAATTTTTAAAATTTAGAATTATACTACCAATGTATACAAGTTAGGAAGTATAAGAAGAAGAATTGTTTAAAAAAACTGAATTTTTTTTAAAAGATTAAAAAATAAAAAAATGACAAAAATACCCCTAAACCCAAAAGCATGTGAAAAAATGGATTTCCGTCACTATTTAACGGTCAAAATTAACAGAATAATCTGAAATAGATTAAAACTTTAGTAAGGTTTAATTGATGACCTAGAGTGGAAATATATTAAATGCTGATGACTTGTTTTAAGGTTCACTCTAATATATATAGACTAAAACATTCAAATCTGAAATTGACGGGTATGCTTTGTTATTTATTCAGGAATAATAGGATGTATTTGGAAACTAAAAATCGACCAATGTAACATTTTTTCACTACCCCAAAAATACCACTTTGTTGAGTCATTTTAAAGTAGTTCAACAGAAAGAGTATTAAAAAAGAGTACTACAAAAGAATCCATCTCTCTCTCTCTCTTTCCCTCACAAAAAAAGAATACTACTACAAAAGAGTCAATTTATTTCAATCTACGAGCCACATTAAACTCTTTAGCAAATTTTTTTAGCAGAGTAGGGACTGCAAGTACGTAGGTTTGAATGAAAAAGGAGAATAAAGTTATGTTATAAGCGAAATTATACTCTAATTTCGTCCAAAAGTAATTACTACTATTGTATTGCGTTTGGTGTAACTTTTACGACATAATGTAACAAAATTTCAATTTTTTTATTCTCTAATTAAAAATATAAATTTGATGCAAAACGAAAGCCAAAAACTAGGGATTTTTTACTAGAATAAACTACCAAAAAAAAAAATGCAATATATAAATGTTGTTGCATCATCAAAGATTACATATAAAACATGCAATAGATGGAGGACTAGTTAAGAAAATACTGATCAGGCGCCGGCCGATGGAATGATGGATCGACTAGATAGCTATACAATGAACCTTCTGAATCCGATGACCAAAGGATTTAAGTTTACGAGTAGTCTTTGTTGTTTCGGATTTTTTAACCCCATTATTGATCATCGATAGCCATCTTTTTATCCTTTGGGTTATCCTTTGGGTGATGGTAATTTGACTAATAATTTCCTGTTCATGATCGTCGGCGAATTGGACGTTAAACTTGAAACTCCTGAGATAGTTTTGTCTTCCGACGTCAATGTTGAAGTTTGCTTGAGGAGCCCTTTCAGTTGGGTGGGCAAAGGGCGACGGAGGAGGCCGCCACGACATGTTGTCCTCGTCGTCGTCGTCGTCCATGCTTAACGTCTTCAGGAATCGCCGGTCGGCTTCTGCCGGTCGATGCTTTCCGACAGGTACCGCCCTACCTCCTCCGGCGACGGCTGCTGGGTTGTAGTAGTAGTTGTTCTCCACCATCACCGCCATTAGCAAACCTGAATTAATTCTTTATCGGAATACTCTATTTTTGTAGTGATTTTTTCTCTTTTTGTTTTTGTTGATAGATGATCTTAGGTAGGCAGGAGGCACCGGGTATTTATAATGTTAGAGTAGGACGAAGTCTTTCCTTAATTGGAGTAGGACTAGGATCTTTGTACGATGTTAGTTTTGTGTTTCCTAAATTTTGTTTCCTGAAATCCTAAATCTTATAGGATTTCCAACTTGAAAGAGTTATTCTCTCTGTATGTGATCTGTTGTTGTTCATCGACCATCATTCCATGACAAATGACATGCCACAGAAGGGTTTCATGATTCTCACCGTGTTTACGATCTCAACTATATAATGTTATTATATTAAAATATAAATCATATAATTTTATTATGTTAATGTTAATATCTGCTGATGATATTGACATATTGTAAAGTGTAAACTATCAAAATTCAAATTATAACTTAAAATTTCATAGATATAAAGTTTGTTATTATATGTGAACTCAACTCTATACAAACTTACACAAAGTTTATTTAATATCTTATCAGAATAAGGCATTGCCCAAATGTTACTACTTGCCCAAGTTTTATATGAACTCCAACTTTGCACCGATAATAACACCATTTAATCATTTATATCATTTCCCCGTCTACTCTTACTAATTTTCAATTTTTATTCCTCTCTTCTTCTTCTTTTTCTTTTTCTTTTTTTCTTTTTCTTTTCTAAATTGGATTTCCCAAATGCCCCCTCGCACCTAAAAGAAAAAGAATAGAATTAGCGACTTACAAATATATACCACAGAAAAATGAAAAAGTAATAATATGAAGTTCGTGTTGTAAAATGAATGGCAGAATATATATTAAATGTGAGCATGCATTAAGCAAGGAATACTATTAAGTATAGTACTTTGATTTTGATGTAAGCCTACTTATTATATATTTATAAAATTGTCATTAGGTTATGGCTATAAATAAGAGGCTTATGTAGTGGTAAAATTGCACCAAAAATATACATGAATAAATTTCCTTCTACTTTGCTTCTTACCCTATTTTTTCTTTCAAAGTTATTAATCACCTTCTCTCTCTCCTTTTAAGCATTATAATTATTTCATAATATTTCGATTATTATAAAATTATTATATTAAAGTCTCTAGTAGAGAAGTTATATAAATTAAATATATCATCTCCTAAATAAATAATTTACTAGAACCTTTGCTTGGAACATTGTACTGGACATTAGTTTTCAAACACGTTATCAGCACGAACGCTCAATTGTCAGCGAAGGTAAAATTTCTCTACTTAATCTTAATTTTATTATGGATGAATTTTTCCCCTTATAATCATTTATGTTTTTTGTTATTGTGGGATGGATTTTCCGCCTATATAACTATTTAATTCTTATTTAATTTTGTCGTGGATGGATTTTTCCCCCATATAATCATTTATGTTTATTGTTATTGTAGGATGGATTTTTCGCCTACATACCTATTTAATTCTTATTTAATTTTATTGTGGATGGACTTTTCCCCACATAATCGTTTATGTCTATTGCTAATGTGGGATGGATTATCCGCCTACATAGTTATTAATTTTACTGTGGATGGGTTTTCACCCCGCATAGTTATTCTTACTGTGGATCGGTTTTTACCCCACACAATTATTTATTTTTATTGCTAACGTGGAAAGGTTTTCACCCCACGAAATTATTTATTGCTATTGTAGTTGGAATTTTACCCCACTTAAGTATTCATTTTTATTATTGCAATGACATTTATTTTAGTCATAAATTTATCATATAATATGAAAAATTAGACTACTTGCATATTTATATTCTATAGTTTAACTCACAAAATGATTTTATTTGTTTTTCTATATTTTCAAACTGCTTAATTAATTTATTTTTCAAAAGTAGTTTTTCACAACGGTTATATACGTATAGTATACGTACATATATAACGGCTATATTCAACAAAAATTAACGGACACATAACGACTAAATTCTAAAATTTTTTCTATAAATACCTCATTTCTAAATCTCATTTACACACCTTCACACTATTTTCCTTCTTTCTCTTCTTAATTTCTTAAAGAAAAATACATGTCTTTCCTTTTTCTCTTTTGCATATTATTAGTTTGTATACATACTTTTTTTGTATTTAATTTAGAAGGCATAGATTGTACTTTCCATTTGGGGTACTTATAATATGTATCTTACCCTTGTTATTAATTGCTATATTTATTGAAAATTGTTAGTTATATTTATTGATTTATGGAATAAAATGTTAATTATGTTCTCTTTTGTTTACTAGAGAATTATGTCTTCGAACTTGTCAAAGCTTGAATTCAATACTCTCAGTTACACTGGAGACAACTACATGTCCTGGAAACTTGACTTGTCAATGTATCTTGAATCATTGGGTCTTCTGAAAACGATAACAGAAGATGATGCCACTGCCCAGGAAAAGGCAAGGGCATTGATCTTTATTCGAAAACATCTTGATGATTTTCTTAAAAGTGAATGTCTATCAGTCAAAGATCCCAAAACTTTATGGAAGGATCTTGAAGAAAGATTTGATCACCAACTTGAGGTGATGCTTCCAACCGCCAAAGAAGAATGGAATGCATTACGCTTCCAGGATTTCAAAAAGGTTACTGACTATCATTCGACACTGTTCTGAATAGTCTCTTGGTTGAGATACTTTGGAGAAACAGTCGCTGATGCAGACATGATTGAGAAAACATTATCCACATTTCATGCTTCTAATATTGTTCTGCAGCACCAATACAGATTAATGAATGTTAAAAGGTATCATGAACTAATTTCTAAACTTATGGTTGCTAAAAAGAATAATGAAATATTGATGAGAAACCATCAATCTCGTCCTACGGGGTCAATAGTATTTCCCCAAGCAAATGCTGTTGGGACAAGTAATTTTGGAAATATAATAACCGTGGACGAGGTGAAAATCGTGGCCGTGGCCGTGGCCGTGGAAATGGAAGAAACTATAATTTTGGCCGTAATCATGCAAAAGGTTACGTTCCACAAGAAACACAGGCCCAGTTCCAGAAAAAGAAAGTGAATAAAGGAAATATTCCTGATAAGCAGAAGAAGGCTGAGACCAAATATTTCTGATGTGGTAGTACAGGACATTGGGCACGTGTTTGCCGAACACCACCACATCTTTGCCAACTCTACAAGAAATCAAAGGGAAATGAGAAGGAAGTAAACCTTATTGAACAAGTGGATAATGCTACAAACTTGAGTGCATTGGATTTCAGTGAAGACTTTGCTGATAATTAAGGGCAAATAGTTGCCCCACCGGTATGAAGTGAAAATTATGTATAGGTCTTAATGTTGTAATAATAATGGATCGGTGTATGATCCTTGTGTCTAAATGTGTAATATTTATGTTGTAATAATAATGAATTGGTGTATGATCCTTGTGTCTAATTGTATGGTATCAATATATGAGTGTATGTCCGAATGAGTAGTCTTGATGTTTTATAATAATAATGATCATTGTATGGTCTTATATTTTTATGAATCAATGTATGGCGTTATGTTTTTTTGAGAGTATGAACTTGATAATTGTGATAATATTTATGTTTTGATTTGTGACTTTTAATTTTAATATTCTCTACTTGATAATAACTGATTGCTTTTTTTTTTGTTTGAAGTTTTGACATGGAATTCGACAAAAAGGGCATGTTGGAGATTTTTGTATTGTAGACTGTGACACTACACGTACTATTCTGAAAAACAGAGAATATTTTTCAGAGTTAAAGCCAACAAAGGTGATTGTGTATACAATATCAGGTCCAACAGATTTAATTGAAGGGATTGGTAAAGCCAATGTCACATTGCCAAAAGGAACACAAATTGTGATTAATAAAGCCCTGTTTTCACCAAATTCAACAAGAAATTTGTTTAGATTTCATGATATATATCGAAATGGGTATGACACCCAATCAATGACTGTTGACAATATGAAATATTTGAATATCATTATTTATGAATCGGGAAAGGCAAGAATATTGGAGAGATTGCCACTTTCTAATGGTTTGTATTATACATATATAAATGTGATTGAATCACATATGGCAATGAAAGAAAAATTCTTCGATCATTCTGTAATGAATTTGTGGCATGAAAGATTAGGCCACTCGGGATCTATAATGATGCGAAGAATTATTGAAAATACACATGGTCATCACTTAAAGGGACAAAGGAACCCCCAGAGTAATGGAATTCCATGTGAAGCTTGTTCTCTTGGAAAATTGATAATGAGACCATCACCATTAAATATTCAAATGAATCACCTACGTTTCTTGAAAGAATCCAAGGTGATATATATGGACCGATACATCCACCATGTGGACCATTCAGATATTTTATGGTATTAATAGATACATCTAGTAGGTTGTCACATGTGTGTTTACTGTCAACCCGGAATGTTGCATTTGTAAAATTTTTTGCGCAGATTATAAAATTACGAGCTCAATTTCCTGATTATGCAATCAAAAGGGTTAGACTCGACAACACTGGTGAATTTACGTCTCAAGCATTTAATGATTATTTTATGTCTACTGGAATTACTGTTGAGGACCCTGTTGCTCACGTACATACACAAAATGGTTTAGCAGAATCATTAATTAAACGACTACAGGTCATTACTAGACCATTAATCATGAGAACAAAACTGCCAGTTTCTGTTTGGGGCCATGCGATATTACATGATGCTTCCTTAATTCGCATAAGACCAAGTGCAGATCATAAATACTCTCTCCTGCAATTGGCTTTGGGATATGAACCAAATATTTTGCACCTCAGAGTTTTTGGTTGTGCAGTATATTTACCCATTTCACCTCCAAAACGTACAAAAATGGGTTCTCAAAGGAGATTGGAGATATATATTGGTTTTGAATCAGCTAGTATCATCAGATATCTTGAGCCCTTAACAAGCGACGTTTTTATTGAACGTTTTGCCGATTGCCATTTTAATGAAATTATTTTCCCAATATTAGGGGGAGAAAAGAAAGAATTGGCAAAGTATATTACATGGAATCAACCAACTCTTTTGCATCTTGATCCTCGCACAAAACAATGCGAGATAGAAGTTCAAAAGATTGTACATTTGCAATCAATTGCAAATCAATTGCCTGATTCATTTACTGACACAAAAAGAGTGACTAAATTATATATACCAGCAGCTAATGCTCCCGGTCGTTTTGAGATTCCGAAAGAAAAAATCGATAATAAAGTCACTAGCGAGTCTAAACCACGACTGAAGCGTGGTAGACCAATGGGATCAAAGGATAAAAATCCTCGAAAAAGGAAGGGAACTGTGAATGACGTTAATCTTGAGAAAATATCTCTTGAGATAATGAAGAATGAAGAAAGTTCCCAATAAGAGGATACAAAAAGGATAAATGAAGAAATCTCAATCAACTATAACAGTACAAATATACTGTTAAATAGAGATGAAGTTGAATGTGACAATGAGATTTTTTGTTTCACCGTTGCAAATGAAATTATGAATGGAAATGATGATCCTGAACCAAAATCAGTTATTGAGTGTCAAAATAGACAAGATTGGATAAAATGGAAAGACGCTATGCAAGCTGAATTAGATTCGCTTAACAAGTGAAATGTTTTCGGGCCAATTGTTCTTACTCCAACGGAAACAAAAACGGAATGAGAAAAACAAGATTATAAGGTACAAGGCTAGATTGGTAGCACAAGGTTTTTCTCAAAGACCTGGAATAGATTATGACGAGACATATTCTCCCGTTATGGATGCAATTACTTTCAGGTTTTTAATCAGCCTTACAATTTCTAAAAAATTAGAAATGCGTCTTATGGATGTTGTTATTGCTTATTTGTATGGATCACTTGATAGTGATATTTATATGAAAATCCCCGTGGATTTCAAATGCCAAAAACTTTAAGTGTAAAACCCAAAGAGATGTATTCTATCAAACTCCAATGATCATTATATGGGTTAAAGCAGTCTGGACGCATGTAGTATAATCGATTAAGCGATTATTTGATAAACAATGGATATACAAATAATGTCCTATGCCTATGCGTTTTTATCAAGAAAACAACATCCGGATTTGCCATTATAGCTGTCTATGTGGATGATTTAAATATCATTGGAACATTACAGGAAACTAAGAGGTGGTTGCATACTTAAAGGGGGAATATGAGATGAAAGACTTTGGTAAAACTAAGTATTGTTTTGGTTTACAAATTGAGCATATGCACAATAGAATATTTGTGCATCAGTCAAATTAGACAAAAAAGGTCTTAAAATGTTTTAATATGAATAAAGCAAACCCTTTAAGTACTCCTATGATCGTCAGAACACTCAAAACTGAAAATGATCCATTTCACCCCCCTGACAAGGATGAAGAGATTCTTGGTGCCAAAGTACCATACCTCAGTACAATTGGAGCTCTTATGTATCTTGCTAACTGTACTAGACCTGACATTTCTTTTGCAGTTAATTTATTAGGAAGACACAAGTCATCACTAACAAGAAGGCATTGGAACGGGATCAAGCACATATTTCATTATCTTCGGGGAAGTATTGATTTAGGCTTATTTTATCCTAATGACTCGAAACAAGATTTAGTTGGTTATGCAGATGTAAGTTATTTATCTGATCCTCACAATGAAAAATCTCAGACTGGATATGTGTTTACATATGGAGGAATTGCAATTTCTTGGCGTTCACATAAGCAAACATTGGTTTCTACTTCTTCAAATCATGCAGAAATAATTGCATTGCACGAAACTAGTAGAGAATGTGTTTGGCTTAGGTCGATGATACAGCACATCAAAACGTCATGTGGTCTACCAGTCGAGAAAAGTCCAACTATCTTATACGAGGATAATTATGCATGTCTTCAACAGTTAAAAGAAGGATATGTCAAGAATGACCGGACAAAACATATACTTCCGAAATTCTTCGCATATACTCAAGAGCTCATCAAGAAAATGACATTGATGTTCAATATGCCATGTCAAATAATAATTCAGCTGATCTCTTCACGAAGGCGCTTCCTACTACAATATTTAGAAAGTATGTTCATAACATCGGTATGCAACGCCTACACAACATATGGACAATTATCGATGTTATTATCACGGGGAGAAAATTACGCACTGTATTCTTTTTTTCCTTAGCCAAAGTTTTTTTTCTCACTGGGTTTTTCTTTGGCAAGGTTTTTAACGAGGCAGTATTTAAGGGTAATCAATAAAAATTTTGTCATCCAAGGGGGAATGTTATAAAATGAATGGCAGAATATATATTAAATGTGACCATGCATTAAGCAAGGAATACTATTAAGTATAGTACTTTGATTTTGATGTAAACCTACTTATTATATATTTACAAAATTGTCATTTGATGATGGCTATAAATAGGAGGCTTATGTAGTGGTAAAATTGCACAAAAAATATACTCCCTCCGTCCCATAATTATTGTCCACTTTGCCAAAAAAATTTTGTCCCAAAATTATTGTCCAATTTGACTTTTTTATGGAGTAAGTTACTCATTTACCCTTCAGTAAAAAAATCACTAAAACCGGAGCTTTAAATCGGAAGAACTCCCCGGAGCTTTGAACGAGCTGGCAATAAATCTCAGATAACCTTTTGGTACTCAATTCGCACCTGCTTGACCAACGCACTTTGTCATCATCTCCAACCTTTTGGTACTCAAAGTGATTCTCCGCCGACGCACTCTGCCATCGATTCAAAAGCTTTGTTGGGTAACAACAAATCAACAAGTACTTTGCAAATTCACCGGCTGCCTCCACCAATAACTCCTCCGATGTTGAAAACACCGTCGCCTGCCCCCGATCTGTCAGCCGAATGGACGGTGCCGGTGTAGATTTGCGACATGGATGTCTTGTGATGGTCGAAGGGCTTGATGTGGAGTTGTATTTTCCAATGTGATTTATGCTTTCCTTAATAGAATTCAGATTCATTACTCCCGATGAAGAAGAAGGATGAAACTCTATATTTTCTTCAATTATCCCTTTTACCCTATTAAAGCAGAAGACATGAAGCTTATGTGGCAACTAAGTATGCATCTGTTTTGGCTCCAAAGCACCATATTTCAGATTTCAGGAGTCTTTTTGCCACGTGTAAGTCTCTTTTAATTAGAAGTTATATATTTTTTTTTTAAAAAAAAACACATGTTTTACTACAAATAAAGATCAGTTATATTTTAAACGAATGGATATATTAATTCAAATTCAAATGTCCAATCGTATAGTTTTGCAGGCTTAATATAAACAAAAAATAAAAATACTTAAATCCAGCAATTAAGAATAATGCCTTATAAACTAATTATTTATTATTCCCTTATAACCTCAGATTCATAGTTATATTTTTTTAAGCCCCACATCACAGCATAAATGATATATACGCCAAATTAATTCCTCAAAAAATAGTAATTCAATTAGATTTTAATAAAATAGTAATTTAGGAGGGGCGCCCGGGCATCTGCCTGGGCCAAACATCTAGTTATTCTTAAGTTTTGATTGAATATTCGTGGCAGGGATATATCCGGTGAAGAAGAAGAATGAATTAGGGTTGGTTTTGAATTTGGGTGCTAATATGAGAAAAGAGGAGACAATTATGCAGGGGTATATTCGGTCAAAATATAGTTAACTTTGACTAAAAATAAAATCTTTCATTTTAGTCAAACAGGACAATAATTATGGGACGGAGGGAGTACATGAGTAAATTTCCTCTTACTTTGCTTCTTACCCTATTTCTTCTTTCAAAGTTATTAATCACCTTTTCTTTCTCCTTTTAAGCATTATAATTATTTCATAATATTTCGATTATTATAAAATTATTATATTAAAGTCTCTAGTAGAGAAGTTATATAAATTAAATATATCATCTCTTAAATAAATAATTTACTAGAACCTTTGCTTGGAATATTGTACTGGACCTAGTTTTCGAACGGTTCGAACCTTTTCAAGTTTTTTCACCCAATAAGATGTTGCCATTTATCTGCTCCGCTTGTTAGCCAGAGCTTATCAACTCCTCAGCAATGGCGAGAAAAGCACGGATGAATTACTGAAGTTAAAAACTCCCCGAAAGAAACTTCAACTTCTACTGTCCAACTGTATTCCCACGCTTGCCGGATTGCTCAGATGCTTGCTGTTCATCCAATCTCATTTGATTTGGATTCTGCTTCAATTATTACTTCTTACCCATTACTTTCTCAAAACTGAGTGATGATGCAATCGCTTTTGCTTCTGTAATTCACGTTCTCCGTGGGCGTCGAGAATGGCCATGGCTTTGGCCTTCCAGCCCATCAATTACTGTAGTAATGTTATCAAACCCATCAAGAACAAGCAGAAATTGGGTGGCCCTGGTGGCGCTTTTGGCAACATTTTGGAGGTTGTGAAGAAAGATTTCGACTTTGTGAAGAAGGGATTCAATAAGGGCGTGGAATGGGCCAACAAGAATCTCCCGATTCCCAAGGTTACAAAAACTATCGATGACGTTGTTTGGCTTCGTTATCTTGAAAACACAGTAGATGTTTCTCCGCCTAAGACTGCCCCTTGGCCTCAGCCTTACTATCCAGGTTTCTGCTTTCTTTTTTCTTTATTTTCCCCCCATTTTTTTCCTAGTAAATTAATTTCTGGTTAAGAAGTTTCGACTTTTTGTTGGGAGTTGTAGTTGAAAGCTATTACTGTTTTGTCGTTGATTATTCATGAGATTTTTGTGTTCTGAGATGATTTAGGATAGTTCCAGACATATGAAATGCCACAGAATAAGTGGTGTTGAGTTACTTATGTCTGGTAAATTCCATTTTGTTTGGTAAAGATTTGACAAAAATTCATACAAGCAAGGAGCTTTAGCACTTAACCTTTCGAGTTATAACAACCTTTATAATTTGAAGTCAGATTCAAATGCAAAGACAGGTAGCATATATGAGGGCAGGTCAGGTAAGCGTTGGGCTTTCCATGTGGTAGGGTCAGCTAAGAGTTAGAACCGTCATATTTAAGTCACAAGGCTTCCTTTCTAGAGCGACCTCCACTTAATTCTCTTAGTATGATCCAGCCTGTGAGCCTAGACTGTTGAAACTCAGACTGATTGGTTAACCATACTGGCCCTCCTTTTAGTATGATGGAAAAACCAGCGTGTTAGCCTAGACCTTTGAAACTCAGACCAACTGTTTAACCACACGGGCCTTGTTAACGGGGTGGGGCAGTAGTATGTCATTGTGGATGGACTGAAGATTGTATTAATTCATGGATAACTGCCAAAATGATGCCTTCAGTTTGGTTGGGAGATTTTACATTGGAATGTTTTAAGCTAGTGCGTTTTAAGATATACTGTTATGCAGTATGCTCACATGTGTGTCTATGGGCCAATTCAGTTTTTTTTTTTTTAATTTTTTTTTGGGGGAGGAGTCACCTTTACACTTTTAGTAAAGCTTTCAATTTCTGGGAAGCGCTTAATTCAATGGCTTCAAGTTGAATTTCTGCACGATTCTATCAGAAAACAGAGTTCCCCTGTTCGGCAGAATGCATGTTCCTTGATAGGGATCAAGGTATATAGAATTTTAATTTGAAACTGTTGGGAAGCTGTGGATTTAACTTCAAATGGTGATGGCCAACTATGAACTTGCGTCTGTTGTAGATTCACAACAAGACATCTATTAAGGGCTTACAGTTTTATAGATGGTAGCAAACAATTTGTGTAAACAGTGTCTGGAGTTAGGACCTAAGCTGATTGGCTTTAGCCTTTATCTCAGTGCCATGTCTTCATTGCTTTTTGCTGAAGGTTATTGACTTCTGTTTTGGATGTATTGACAGAGCTTTCTGGGGTTGATTTACTTTTGGCTGATCTTCGAGCCCTGGAAGCATATATCAGTTATTTTCACTATGTTTCCTGGAAGTGGAAGAAGCCATTACCTGAGTCATATGATCCTGAAGAAGTTGCTAATTATTTTAGCTTGAGGCCCCATGTAGTTGCCCTCCGTCTTCTTCAGGTACTTCTCGTATTCTTGTAGATTGAACGGTTGCGAATTTTCTATTCATACACCTATAAACTTGAAAGTATCCTGTTCGCATCTTCATCTCTTTCGAGAATTAGTGATCCTACGGTTGAATCTAAATGATGTGTAGTTGTGTACTTTGTAACCGTCATAACTCAAAACATATATGCGCACGGAGTCCAAAGCTTTGGTCTCTTAACAAATTACCCTTTTCTACCGGTCACAGAAACTTAACCCAACTACCTACAGGTGGATTGAGATCCAAATCATCTCTTGACGAGCCTCCTTGTGCTTGAAGTATAGTGCTTTCTTTTTGATGACGGGGAAAGATAGATGCCTTCATAAGTTATGCGTAAAAGTCGTTTTGAATTTACAGGGTGAATGGATGCAGTATCTTCAGTTTCCTAAATGATATCTTTACTTTCTAACTGATCCTGGAGATATAGGATAAGAATTCTTCTGCCCCTTGTGCAATTTCATGTTGATCATTTCAAAATGTCCCACTTATTGGGCAAGATCACTTACAACCTAACTTAGTTTGCAGTTCCAATTGACTGGTTTCTGGGTGCATAACTACCCAACATTTGTGCTACATTGCTTGTATCAAGAGTCAAAACTGCGTATGAACTTATTGAAAAATTTTGCTGGTTGTTACTCTCTAGTCTTTCCCTTATGTGGTAAGAATGTTGTAGAAAAAAAAGAATTGTCATCCTGAGGGTAAGATTGAATTACCATACTAGATAGCTGTATGAAATTGGGTATACTGTTTGCCTGTATCCTAACAGGGTTTGTTTCTTTTGTAAGGTATTTGCTGCCTTTTCTTCTGCTGCAATCAAAATGCGGATTTCAAGTATCAGTTCCTCGAAAGACGATGTGACTAATCAGGATATTTCTCAATACAATTTTGGAATGCTATTAAAGGAAACAATGCTGCATTTGGGCCCTACATTTATTAAAAGTAAGCATACTTTTTAACAATGTTATGACTTTTTTACAGAAAAAAGGAACTCACTGCATCATTTTGGATTTTATATGACTTTCTATGGAACATATTACATTTTTATAGTTATGATGTTGTCTTGTTGTTAGATTAAGTAAACATTCTTCTTTTTTTGGTTGTATAGTTGGTCAGTCACTTTCCACAAGGCCAGATATCATTGGTACTGAAATCTCAAAGGTAATCCAGTGCTTCCTATTGTGTTCTTTTAAATTCTGGAAATGAGATTTTTAGAGTTATTGAATTCTTTAATTTACCTTTTTTGTGCCGATATGTACAGCCATAGTTTATCTTTCAACAACTCTTACACACAAAATTTTGACTTCCTTGTAAAAGTTTTTGAAGTCATAGTGGTTCATTGGCTGAAGTTGTAATAACAGGCACTGTCAGAACTGCATGAACAAATTCCCTCTTTTCCTAGAGCTGAAGCTTATAAGATCATGGAGGAAGAATTGGGTTCTCCTGTTGGAAATTTCTTTAGCTACATTTCTGAGGAGCCTGTAGCTGCAGCTTCATTTGGTCAGGTGCCTCACTTCTATCTGTTGTGTGATTCATTTTATTAACTCTGTCATATGCTTTACTTCAGAAGTTGCCATTTTTTTACATCCTTACATGTCGCAATCTAAAATCTAGCTCAGGTCTATAGGGGACGGACGCTGGATGGTCTCGATGTTGCTGTGAAAGTCCAACGACCTAACTTGCAGCATGTGGTTTTTCGAGATATTTATATTCTTCGCCTAGGGGTTCGTTCTAAGCTCTGTCTGTTTAAAAAGTTTCAATTGCTGAAAGCATAATTTCCTAACTGGGTAGAACAAAAACTTCTCAGCTTGGGATAATACGAAAGGTAGCAAGAAGGAAGAGTGATCCTCGACTTTATGCTGATGAACTTGGAAAGGGCCTTGTGGGGGAGTTAGATTATACCTTGGAGGCTGCCAATGCACAAGAATTTAAGGTACTGGGCCCACTGGTTGTGTTTGAGTGAACATAAATTGTTACTATCAGGTCTTCAGCATTTAGCTCTGTGATTAGCATTGTTGATTGTTGTAGTACGTATATGGACTACAGTAGGTATGTTCTGGGATGATACTCCCTTCAATCAGAAAGTGCCAAGATGTTACTGTTTATGAGGATTTTCTTGTGAAGAGTCACTTGAAACATCTATTTTTTCTCAATGAAGAACTTTTCAAAACATAATACTTTCCTTTTCCTATTTATGATCATGTTTGCAGGAAGTGCATTCACCATATCCGTTTATTTGTGTTCCAAAAGTTTTTCAACACCTTACCCGAAAGAGGATTCTGACTATGGAATGGATTGTTGGTGATAGTCCTCGTGATTTACTTTTCTTGTCCACTGAGTCACTTCAGCTGCTTTCTGGACACAAAGAGAGGCTGCAATATGACGCGAAAAGGCGCCTTCTGGATATGGTTCGTTGAACTGCATTCTTTCTGTACTTCTGAATTCGAGCATGCATCTCTGAAGGTGTTGATCATAGATCCAAACTTTTGAAAAGCAAGGATTTGTATCCTCAACTTAGGATATGATGCAACTTGGATTACTTTGGGGAAAAAAAAAAACACTTATGAGTTAAGATGCCATTTAAGACCTGACTTGCTGTTTTCTGCTCAGACACATCACTATGAGATTATATTGGATTTTCTTTTACATTTTTATATTTCTTAGGGATACTTTTCATTGTTTTAGGTTAATAAAGGAGTGGAAGCATCATTGATTCAACTCCTTGAGACTGGTTTATTACATGCGGACCCTCATCCTGGCAATTTGCGGTATATCTCTGCAGAGAAAATCGGGTATGGTAAATAATGTGGTGTCAGTGATGTGAAATCTGCTTGATCGGAAATCTCGGCTACTTAAAGTTCTTTTTGGCCTTCTATTTTTGATAGGTTTCTTGATTTTGGCTTGCTTTGTCGAATGGAAAAGAGACATCAATTTGCCATGCTTTCTTCCATTGTGCATATTGTTTATGGGGAGTGGGGATCCCTCGTGCAGGCACTAGTTGAAATGGATGTTGTACCGCCTGGAACTAATACACTACGTGTCACCATGGTAATTTCCTGATCGGTAATAGTTGTCTATCATTGCCTGGTTGTAAATTTGATTTACAATTTTATTCAACGTGTTTCTTGTTTGTAACTGAAATTTTACTGCATTAGTTTATTTATTTATTTATTTTTGTGGGTGAAATTTATTCAGGAGTTGGAAGATGCCTTGGGTGAGATGGAGTTCAATAATGGAATTCCAGACATCAAGTTCAGTCGGGTGAGCAATATTATTCACTTTCTTACTGCTTTGATCTTGTTGACTTCTTAGCTCAATATAAAATATATATTGCAAGTTGACTTGCATTTTATGCTTTCACTTCCAGGCAACTCTAAATTGTCGATCAAAATTTCCTATATCGTTATAGTATATTTAAGCAGTGTTAGCTGAATAGCCACTAAAAATCTTGCTGGCGCCTTTTCTTTTCATATGCCCAATAATTCCAGTCTTGTCAGTCTTTACTAAGTAGTTTATGGATGTATTGCCTCGTAGGTTTTGGGTAAAATATGGTCTGTGGCTCTGAAGTATCATTTTCGCATGCCGCCATACTATACCCTGGTTTTGCGTTCTTTGGCTTCCTTGGAAGGTATTTGGCTCAAGCTTCTTGGTTCATGGCATTATTTTTTTATGTAGATGACTGAACTACTAAATAACTAAACTACAGGTTTGTTCTGAAAATCTTTACGGATAGCGAACTAGTAATTATGTGTCCTTTTGCAACTGCATGGGAGTTTGCTTCGTTTATTGAAGGAACTTAAAGCCTAATGTTATCTGATTAACATGTACAAATAAAATGCCAAGTAACTTTGGAGTATCTTCACTTTTAGAAATTTGCCATTGATCTCTGTCACATATTGCTATTTCATCTGCCACCTGTGTAAAATGCGTTATTTGAATGTTATTGTTGTAATACTATGTTAAGCTCTCCTGTATGAAGACTGGATTGATAATGATGTGAAAAGGAGATTCGTTGATGACAACTAGTGATTCTTAGGCGCGAGACTCCACATTTTGTGGTCCTTTAACTGTGTTCATGGTTCAAAACATCAAGTTCTAGAGGAGGAAAGGAGCCTATTCAATGTTGGAGGTTTCTCATTTCAATTTCTTTTGGTCCAGAAAGGCTCTAGAATTTAGTTGTCCTGATGCGAATTCACTTCCAAGTGCCTGTGATTTCATCTTAGTTACTAAAGTCCCCGAGGGGGCCTGGGGGTGTCCATTCAGTTGGAGGTCATATATCATATAAAAGAGTAGGAAGGGAGTCATCTCTGGGGATTCTGACCAGCAAGTGAGCACACGGACCTATGTGCCACAGGAGCAGTATCATAAATTTTTGCTGGGCAAATCATTCAACATTTGCCTGCCCTCCCTTGCTGTTGTGGACTGTTGATGGTACATAAGGAGAAGATAGAGCTGAATCTATCAAGTGGTGGTGGTTGTTTTTTTCCTAGGCACTTATCTTTTTTCCTTTTCTTGGGAATTGTAGTTTGTGATCTATCTGAACTAAGTTTCTAAAAGCTTGAGCATTTTTTCCATATGCACCAAATTTAACCTGTAAAAAGGTAATGGAAGAATTTTCCTGGCAAAATACTTGATGCATAAAGGGGCACGAATAGTTAAATTACCTCCCTTTTATTGCATTTCATCTATCAAAGTACATGGGCTCATTTCCTCTTCCTCGTTCTTTCCATTCTTTTGAAGTAACTATCTCTTGTCATTTTCACATCTATGCCAATTGATTGAATTCTTTCCAGCTCTGAGGACATTCTGCTCATGAAATCATGAATGTTTCTCATTACATCTTCATTTTTTGTCACAGGATTGGCTGTGGCTGCAGATCCAAATTTTAAAACGTTTGAGGCTGCATATCCCTATGTTGTTCGTAAACTTCTAACTGATAATTCAGCCTCTGCCAGGAAAATTCTGCACTCGGTATGTATCAAGACTTTTAGTCTCTGTGTACCTTTACTTTATTGAGGTGGTTTTATGTTGAATTTGTACTCAGACATTGAACTATCTGTTCTGTAGGTTGTCTTTAACAGGAGGAAAGAGTTTCAATGGCAAAAGATTTCACTTTTCTTAAGAGTTGGAGCTACTAGGTTTGACCTTTTCTTTGATATGTACTACCTCTATCCCAAAAAAAGTAGTCCACATTGAGTTTTGAGATTTATACTATTACAAATCTCAAAACTCAATGTGGACTATTTTTCTTTTTGGGACACGGAGTATTTTACATTGGATTGCCTCAAACAAGGATTGAACCTGAACTTTGTGGTGGCAATCGAACCTTACCACCTCAACCAACCATTCCATTCCATGCTTGCTTTCAGTCACTCTCTAAGTTGGTAAAATTGGAGAAGCAGTTGCTATATATTTTTTAGGCTGCTGTTAATTGTATCTGCATTTTCCTCTCTGCACAAGTTTCCTTAATTTTTCTCCTTAATAATTTACTAAAACTCCCTTGTTCCAGAAAACTTCAACTGGTGGGTCCAAACTCCCAAGTCTCTCGTGAGTATTCTTCTAATGGAGTGGCAGAGGGAAATGAAGTTGCAAACTTAATTTTGAAACTCCTACCTTCTAAAGATGGCATCGTGCTCAGAAGAATCTTGATGACTGCGGTATGCCCATTTCATCTTACTGTTACTTTGGGAGTATGTTTACTCTGTATTCCAGATAGGGGGAAAAACAGAACATGAATGTTACCTAGAGTATTAGCTTTTTGAGAACTCAATCATAAAATCATAAAAGTACGATCTTAATTTGAATGTTGTGATAAATGTTTTTTATTCTATGAACAAAATCAAATAGTTACCTAATGAGCTCATCTCATGCTTTTTTGCTCAGTCCATTTTGATGTCTGATAATTGTGCATTTTGATGAACAGAATGGGACTTCGTTTGTACAAGCTATGGTGTCTCCCGAGGCAAAGTTTTATCGTCAGCACATCTGTGGAGTTATTGCTGATGCGTTTTATTTATGGTTATGCAATGTTTCAAGGATTAGTGCCACCCGATTCAGCCCCAACTCACATTTGGCCAGAGGGACTGGTGACATTGAGAGACATTCAGCTTCAAGGTTGCGCGTGATAAATGAGTATCAGTCTTTAGTAAAAGACCGACGGTTGAGGGTGATTTTTTCCAAGATGTTTAATTCCACGAGGAAAAATCCTTTACTGATGCTTAGGGTTTACTGGACTTCATTTGTTGTGCTGGTAACGGCTGCAGCAATGGCTTTTCATCGGGTTTTGATTACACTATGCGAAGATGGTCTGGCTCGTATCTCTGTTGCTCGTGAAAGAATAGCTCTCGGTGCTTAAATCTTTAATTGCTCTGCTGGGACAAGCATTTGAGCCAGGGTATGGGCTGTCAGCTGAATATGCTTCAACCTGAGCTATGCACCTATACACGCAGAGGAAGTTTGGAGGTTCCAAAACTCGATCGTTTCTGTGGATCAAAGATTGTCCGCGTTTGTTTGAGTCGTCAGAAAAACAGAAACACTCACTGCAGATAGATCTTCAACGACTTTCCGACCATGTTGCCTGTTGTATAACTTAGTAACACATATACTGTATAGTCTCAACTCTCAACTGTCACATTGAAATTTCAGCTGGAGATATGCTGTTAGGAAATGTAGATGTAATGTACAATGACAATCTTCTGTTTATATGTATGCAACATTTACTTCCCAGTTCCCATCTTTGATTCTTGTATTGTCTTTTTTTTTTGTTTTTTTGAAAAAAAAATCTTGTATTGTTGTTTCTACAGGGAAGCTTTATAATATTTTCTGTTGTTTTTGTTTACATATGCTCTTTTTCCTATCATCTGTCAAGTGCCAATTCAGAATGTGACCTTTTAGGTCACCCTAATCTTATCACAAAGAATGTAGAAATGCAATCTTAACATTTTTTTCTCAAACGAAAAAACATATTATGTCTTAGAATAAGGATCGGAGGGAGTAATAGTTTTGGATTACGCCTAAAGGAGACTGAATTAACATTTTTTAAAGTACTAGAGGGGTCAAAATAGAAATTTGTCTAAAATCAGTGTCCATCAACAACAGTATCGTAGAGAAATCTCAATAAAACCTTCAGCGCTAAGGTGTTGAATCAGGATTTCGTTGTCAAATGCCTGAATGGAGAACGAATACAATTGATCGAAAATTTCTAAGATTATAAACTTCAAGAACTTCCATAAAACGCTTCAGCCATTTGATTGATCAAATCGGAGCGAAGAAATAGTTTCGCCTTGAAAAGTCGAACAAATCGAGCTACAACTCAGAATAATCAGTGAAAGGATTATTTTCAGATCGCGGAGCGAATGAGCACTCCACCACTCTCCGGCGGCGTAAGTCTTTAACGTATTTACATTGTGTTGAATGTAAGATGATCGGAGGGTTTATGAGTTCTTATTGGAGCTTTTAGATCCACGGCACGGAGTTAGAATTCTGATTTTTCCCCTGTTTGTTTGGTTTTTGATCGTGGAATTAGGGCATGTTGACTGGGGGATTCACTAGATTGTGCAAGGGGCTGGCCGTTGTACTCGTTGGTGGTCACATTGTTGTTCAGATCATTCCTCCCGCTGCTTCTTATCTCGCTCTAATTCCTGCCAAGTAATCCACTTCTCTTCTTACTTCTTCACATTTTTTTATTTTCAGTATAATGCGTACTTGTAGTTTCAGCTTGGGGTAATACATTTTGACTGTTTATTAAATTCGGACTTTTTCCCGTTTACTTTGCAAGCAGATAGATTATTTGGTGGTCACTGTAATTTTCCTTTTGCCTCTGATGAGGATGAGATTTTGAGAGAATTGAGGAATGGAATAGAACATGATGAGAACGGATTAGCTTTCTTAGGGTGTTATTCTCATGGAGTCCTCTTCTGAAAATAATTATGGATTATTGTTATTATTCTATTTTATTTTTTTGTGCACTTGTGGAGTTCAGTTTTACACTGAAATCAGTTTGAGTTTCATAGGAAGAGAGGTAGCAGATAGCTTTGGTGATCTAGTAGCTCATGCTCATTGATTTAAATTTTGAAGGGGTGGGGAAAAAAAACTAGAATTATTCTTGGTCTATCTTTGTTGAAATCTAAGTTCCATTCTTCTCACAGGACAATTCCATTTGCTTGGAACCTTATCACGGCTGGTTACATTGAGCAAACTATTTATGGAGTAAGTTCTATGTTCTTAATATTGCTGCTGCATTTGGCTTATCTAAATATGTACCATTCCCTACTCATATTTCTGTCTGAAAGTATGCATAAATCTCTTGCTTACGTGCTTTTTTCTCAAACATACCTTTTCTTCAGGTAGTCATCAGCATAATTGGTCTGCTTTTCCTTGGGAAACTGCTTGAGCCAATCTGGGGTCCTCGCGAGTTTTTGAAGTTCATATTTGTGGTTAACTTTTTGACTTCTGTCTGTGTTTTCATAACAGCCATCTCCTTGTACTATGTTACAATGGAGGAGAAATACCTGTAAGTGATTGTAGATCCACTTCTTCAGCGAAATAATTCCTTCCTATGTTCAGTCTGGATGCACTGTCTGCTTGTCCTTATGAGGCCTTGTCTACTGCTATTTGTTTTTCATCTGTTGATTTTGGATATGAAAAGTAGTTTCGTGTTAAGCACAATTTTTTTTTTCTCAATTGAAATGACTCAAAAGTTGCATCATTTGTCTACACCTCCGTAATCTATTTTGTGTGTTGCGTCGTCACTGCCTGTTCTTACAAACATTCAATTTCATGTTCAGCAGCTGTTCATCTGACTACTCATCTTATTGTTTTTGGATCCTCATCTTCAATTATGTTTTTTGTAATGAGCAATTCTGAGATTTTCTACTCTTTTGTTTTGCAGTTATATGCCTGTTTCTGGCTTCCAAGGGGTGCTTTCAGGATTCCTTGTTGGCATTAAGCAGATTTTACCTGACCAAGAGCTTCCTCTGGTGAAACTAAAAACAAAAGTATGTGACCTAAAATTACTAGAATGATACTGTTTAACACAATTATTGGAAAGTTAAATTTTTCCCTAAAAGATGGAGACCAGTTCAAGCCGTCTAATCATCTTTTGTGTCTTATTTTGGGATATCTGCAGTTGTTGCCTTCTCTTCTGTTACTGGTTTCTATTGCTGCAAGCTTTTTCACGGCAGATTCAGCATCTTACCTTCCAACCTTAGTGTTTGGCACTTATATTGGGTGGATTTACCTCAGATACTGGCAAAGTAAATCCGAAACAAAGCTGAGGGGTGATCCCAGTGATGAATTTGCCTTTTCCACGTTCTTCCCTGAATTCTTAAGGTTAGTACTTACCATCTAATGACAACTTTTGTTCTTCACTCCCTCGCTGTTTTGAGGTCTCAACTTGATGAACTGCCTGCAGACCTGTAATTGACCCCGTTGCTACAATATTTGAACGAATGCTCTGTGGAAGGAGATCTGGAGCTTCAAATGAGGCCTCGGGCTATACCATGGGAGATGATCCGCTACTTGGTTCTGATCCGATTGAGGCTTCAAGGAGGAGGTAATCCCTTAGCTATTTTCTCTGATCAACCCAGAAATCTTCGGTCTGGGAAGCATTAGTGCCGACATATTGAGGAAAAACATTGAGCAGACTGTAGCCCTTATTTATGTAGCACAAAATTTCCAATGCTCTTGGATTCCAAACTTCTCTCTTTGTTTCAAGTGATTTTGCTTAAGTCGTTAAAAATGAATAACTTCTGAAATTTAACTACTAATAACTAATAGATTAAACGAAACTGACCAAAATTTGAAATGAGAAGCTGATTGACTGATTTGTGATTCCACCTGTCGCGAGATACCATGATGACCCAAGACCCCGTTTATCTATCAGAATAATATTTGCTTTTTAAGAGTACAATAGTTGGTTTTGGCTGGCGGATCAGTGATTGCATTACACCAAGTTATACCGGATTTCTTATACTAATTTGCAGGGAACGGGGAGCTCGAGCACTTGAAGAAAGATTAGCAGCAGAGAGGCTTGTTGCTGTCGGGAGGTCGGAAGAAGCACCAAGGGATGCTTCTGATAATGTCTAAATCCTGTTAAAACTCGAATACCAAAAATACTCTTTAGCAAGTTTGCGCACAATTGTAGCTATGGGAATTCACTGTTGTTGGGCGCTGGACTCTTTTTGATACTTGAATACAAGTTTTGTCTTCTGATCTTTGATTGTTATAGTAAATTAACTTCATTTATCTTGCACACCTTTAGTCTAAAATGGTTAGGAACTTTCTGTCTTGCACACGTAACTTACGTGGACATCAGCAATCAGGTTTTCAATAGTGCCATGCTTTGCAGGGTTTTTACTAGATTCTAATGAAACTCCGACTTAGTTGAAGGATTCACAATCTACGATGATTTGGATATTGATCCAAGAGGAATTGTTTGTAGAAGTACAAAATATGTTTTGTCTCGCTCTTTCTTTTCTCAAGAACTCACTATTTTCTGTCTGCCTGCATTCCCACTTATACACCCATGCGTGTTATAATTGTTACGTAGGAGCCATGGTTTCTATTTCTTGAGGCAATTGCACCAAAAGTTCATTTGAGATGTGGATTTCTTAATTAAAGGTTACAAAATTCACTCCATCCATCTATTCCCAAGGCCGTTCTAATACTCCGATTACCAAGATCAAGCTCTTGGGAAGGAAAATGGATTCTGCCAATCGGTAGTGTGAGTCTCTAAGATCCGTGCTCTATGATTTGCTAAGGGTTCTAAAACTAACGAGGCTGTTATCTCATCATAGTACAAACCCGGAAAAAAAAAAGAAAAAGAAGAAAAAAACCTTAACTATGAGCTTGTCACCAGGATTCTACAATTTCCTGCTTAGCTTCAATGTAGAACTCTGTAGATGTGGAACACCTTCACTTCTTCAAGTTGACCAATGCTAGAACAAGATCCCCTCTTGATAGATTTCTAGTGTCTGGATAACCTTCTCTAGGAACAATTTTCTGTTTAACCTATACCTGCAAGCAACATATCATTGTTATTCAAAACATCATGACCACCAAGAAAGGCAGTAAAGCAATAAATTCATCATCGAGGCTGAAACACACTTTATTGCAGCTTCCAAGGTCGGCCTTCTATCTTCCGGCAGATTGTCTGCAGAAAAAAGCAAGAGGTGAACACATGGTTTAATGTACATGATAGTCAATGCTCTAAACTGTGCATTTATAAGGTACACGTTAACATTTAGAGCATGATAACTTAGATGGCCGGGAAGATCTTTCTGCGGAAATGCAAAACATTCAAGTCATGCACACAGAGCGAAGAACTTTTAGTTGGCAACAGATTTGAATAACTCTTGTGCAATACTGATTCTTGGGAAAAGAATAATCATGAGTTGCGCGAACTTTTAAGAGCATTCTGGGATTGATTTGTTTTCCTGTATTTTCCATTGGATAAATTTGATAGGTCAAATTGATGATACCTAGAATCTGCTGATCTTGCCGGGCATTTGTGGGGAACTGCGCAAGCATTTGCTGGCATTCATCTTGTAACTCCTTTGCAGCCTTGCGCTCTATACTCGGTATTGGGGGGACATCTCCATCAGTCCAAGTGGGTAATGTTCTAGCTGCTGCTAAGACAGCTCCATCAACGAAGTTTTCTGTATCAGTTGACAGCTGACCTGCCACAAAAGTCATTGCACACATCATTGCTAGGCTCAGATGTCAGTAAAGATCAGTTTTTTTTTTTTTTTAAGTTTTGTTTTTCTAGTTCTGAAAGAAACAAAAAACAGCAGGGTTGATCAAAGAGAAACGATTCGAAAACAAAGGATATCATAATCCATACTGTTGTGGTAGTACTCATCAGGAAGGCCAGATATGCTAAAAACTGACAAGAAAGAATCCAAGTGAATCTTTGCACTTCCAGAGAAATGGATGACATCCCAAGGATTCTGCAGAAGTGACGCATTACAGTAAACAGAAGTACTTGACAGCAATGAAGAAAATCTTTTCAACTAACAGGAAAAAAAAAGTGGAACAACTCATAGTACAAAGTGCATGGTTGTTTTCTTGGTGTAAAGAGAGTTCTAGAAGGGTTAATTACCACAGGAGATGAAAAACCATATCTTTGCATATAAGAATTGTTCCTTGATTGGCTCAAGTAATTGATGGTCATCTGCAAAAGATTCAAAAAAGATAACAGTTTACCACAAAGGTACTTTCCAATTAGTGCAAACGAGTATAGACAATCGCAGATGAACAAAAAATGATGTTTTTCTTCCAAACAACGTAGTATTTGTAGAGACAGTTAAGAGGAAATTCTAGAATCTGGGTATAATAGCATCTTTGGGGGCTTCAAGAAGAATTTTTCATCTCCTACCAACTGTAAACAGGACCATAGTTAAGGAGCCTGTACGGCGTACGCTAGCAGGCAAGATCCACTTCGCCATTTTTTCGGATGATTCACAAGGCTTTCACAGACAAATTCAACTTTTAAACCAACAAAATTAACATATACCTAAACATAAGACACAAGCATATTTTACTCATAGGAAAACAACCATTTACTTAGTCAAAAAAAGGACGCATTACTTCTTCTCCCTTTTTGACTGCTTGCCCAGCATTAATCATCACCTCAAGCATGCGATCTTTGAACCGCCAATGGAAAAAGCAATTTGGTTGGAAGGAATGGTTCAGCATATCTGGGAGAGAAAGGAAAGATAATTACCCACCAAAAGCCAAGTACCCTTGATCATTCGCAAAACACTAAATTGAAATGATGCAAATTATCCAATTCAATGATGAGAATGTTAAACGTTCCATGTTTCTATTTAATTAATATAATCCAAGATACAGAAGATAACTGAAGAACTTACTGGCACAACAATTTTCAAGAGTTATATAAACGTTCTAACGTGGATCAAAACCAAAGTTCAAAGGAAAAGAGGTTAATGGTCCCTGAATTTTCTTAATCACCCATTAGAAGTAATTTGCTAAGCAAACTTCTCCTTTTCCTTCTTCTTTTATGTTCAGACCCATAAAAAAATTCACCATTCTCTTCATGAGCAGTACATTTCCCAATCAACCATGGCAATGGGGTTTCTGTTCAAGTACTGAGGCCGATTCTTTTTTCCCACATGAAAATGAAGTGTCTTACCTTGCATTTTTATTTGATTGTATCATTAGAAATTAAAAAAATTCTAAAGATCATAAGAACGATCGCATCATCAATATGCATATTATGTAGAATTCAAGCTGCAAATTGCTCAAAATGCACCTCTTGATCTGGATCAGCATAAGGATATACAAAAGACGGTAGCTCACCAGCATAAGGAACTAGCAGGTTTGAATCTTGAGTCAAAGAACCGATTCTTGTTTCCATGTTGATGCATCGAGACTGCGCCATACTCACTGCCCAAATGAATCTCTCAGGCTCACGAGCAAGTCGCTTTACTTTGAGGGGAACAGCAGAATGCTGAATTCAGAAAGAACATGTCAACATCCTAATTGGTCATATCTAGGAACACAGTCAGGATAGAAAATAGGATTTTGAATAATGAAAAGAAACGAAAACCAAGCTGCTGTATACCCAATTCTTTTCCCAAAATTCTAATGCACGTTGTTGCTGCTGCATCATTGTGGAAGCAAGATGTTGATCTTGCATCTCCAGAAGATCCTCCTAAGAGGGGGAGAAAAGTTCATGTCAGAGAACAAAATATGATGGCAATAACATCAATAATTTTACATTGAACAGAATGTGAACAGAATTCAACGGCATTGAAGTCTCAGCTTTTAGATAGTAATATTACAAATTCACAAATCATGAATCACGAATCATAATTTATTTCGATAGTCTCATACAATCTTGGACATATATTCGTAGCACATTCACTTGTATGTATCAAATAGGTGCAACAATGTCATCAATTATGGTTTTTTCAAAGTTACTGGATTGAGTTGTAACAACGATTTTGAGATTAATTATTAAAATAAGTAAATTCTATTTGATGTCCTTGATAAGCAGGCTAAGATAGTTATTGAAGTACATCACTGTAAACAATGATATGGCATTTACTCTCTAAGAAATCCTCATTGACAAACCTCAGTTGCCAGAAGTAAGCTGGTGCATTCATCAGGGCCTGGTAAGAAGTCACCATAAAGTGTCCAAAAGTTATCCTTAACATCAAATGCATATAAAAGAAGACAAGCCAACCTCAGGTCCCAGTCTGTCTGCCAAAACAATGGGGAAAGAGTTAAAACTCCATCAATCAAATATAAGAAAAAGGATTCGGTCTATCAAATAACAGTTGTTGCACCAACATTATACGAAAGCGATTTACCTCAGGATTGGTTGAATTAATAATGTCAAAAATAGGATGACCAATTGGTATGATGTCTGGAAAAAACATCCATGGTTTCTTTCTGCTTATAGTTAACATCAATTCTAAAGGAATTTCCATAATCACCTGCACAGTCAAATAAACCGTTGATTATAGACATAACCTCTAAAAGTTACTTTTTTAAAGTAATGAACTTATCAAGTACAGCAATATAAATCACATAGAGCAGATGCATAAAGATTTACCCTAGCTCGTCGGAGAGCCTGAATGTCTTTGGAAGCATAAACTCCAAAACCATCAGGACCTTCCCTGAATTCAATCCCATATGCTCGAACACTTCTGACGTATCCTATTTTATAAAAGTCAGGGTCTGCTAGTTCTAACTGTTAACACACAATAGAGGTATATTTTAAGAGCTAACATCGAGAGGAAATCAATTTCATAGCTGTAGAGAAAACTGATCAAACAAAATGAACAGGCAGCTGAAATATGGAGATAAATGAGAGATCGTTCTCCGTGGTAATATTTACAAATGACAAAAACTAATTTAAATCCAGCACAGTGGAACCAAAACTGAATATAGACATAAATGAGGAAATGATACTGCAGTAATTACAGATTCTGCATATTGTCATAGAGCAGGGTGTTGATTCATCAAAGAATGGGTAGAAAAACAAATGAGACAACAAAATCTCACACGATCTCTCAATCGTAGTTTCAATTCCTCAGCAAGAGTCTTCTTGTTTTGTTACTAACTTGTGAAATATATGCATACAGTAGAAACTAATTGAAATATCTGAGTTAAATGCTGCTCCAAACCATACAAAAGAGAAGGCATTCCACCAACGGTGCAGCGATTTTCAAGTATTAGCTTTTCTTACCCCAGAAGCAGGAGTGGATTCTGGTTCTGAAGGGTTATCAAAGATTGGGAATGAAGAACGAGATTCAGATGACGATAACTCGATTCCTGGAGCAGAGTTAGTCGAGAGGTTAGAAACTGCGGTGGCAGCAACTTTGCTGGACCTATTTCTTCCGTTAAATATAACGATTGGCAGTTGTACAGGAACATGGACATGCTGTACGCCACTCCACAACTGCACTGACAGACCAAACAATCATAAACCCAGAAAGACAATAAACATATCAGATTACAATGCCATATCCAGTTCCCACTTTACAGTGCTAAGCTTCTCAGTTATTGAGGAAACAGCAGGCGATATCAATTCAGTTAGTATTTTTTTGTACAACTACTAAAGTTATCATCAGACTTTGCCACACACAAACAAGAAAACTTACTATCTTCATTTTCCAAACACATTACAAAATTATATTTCCATTCTTCAAATAGGGTTTTAGCAAACCTTACAAAACTTATCCATTTCCACTCATTGGGAGATACTAAAAGAAGAAAAAAAGAAAAAAAGGGAAAACAAAATTCAGTTCACAAGGTCCAGTCTTTCTTTTTATTACACACCATTCCGGCCTCATTAATCTCAGGAAAATTAAAATTCGTGGAGAAAATAGTGGGGGGAACAGATTGAATGATGGAGTTAGTATATTACCAGAAAATTATGCTTCAACATCAAAGACAATCCGGGATACCAGCGCTTCAGGGAAGGAGGGAACGGCAGAAATGGAGGACTTGGAGTTTCTGGGCCGTAATAACTTTGTTGGTTCCGGCACCGGGCGAACCTGATTTACTGAGGTGGGAGGATTTGGGGATAGAGTTTTGAAGTAAAAGAGCAGAACAAAAGATGAAGAAATGAAATATGAAAAAACACTATCCAGTTCTGAGATACTTCTCTTCTCTGCTTTTTCTACGAGATACTTGTCGAGGACAGTTTAGTCATTGCAGCAGGTGTTACCGTTGGCTTTACCGTTTTTTATTGGAGGGAAACCAGAACGGTGAAATAGTTTCTTGCTGTTCCTCGTTGTGATATTACTTTTTAACCCGCAAATTCGTTAGTCACCTGAATCGAGAGAAGAAGACATAAATGTACTTGACCATTCTGACCAAGGCAAAATCCGATGGGTTGAAGAGTCAACGGTGTCTATGGACATGTGACCTGCAAAATAAGGGTTAACACTCCGACGATCAAGTTAGTACATGGAGTGAGAGAAATAAATTATATGAGCTATGAAGGGAGTAGAATGAGTTTTTTCTCCGCCTTACAAGTTGGATAAATATAGAGGTAAGATGGGAATATTCCTTGGGAGGGCTTTAATGGATTTGGCCTATTTTACGGCTCTCATTTAGCCCAATTAGCCTACAAAGAGTGGTTTTGTATCCAAGAAATGATTTTGGCCCAAATACATATTTTTGCTCCATCACATTCCAAATTTGATAATGAAGCGTCTGATTTCATCTTTTGATTATGTATCTGACCATTGCACATTTGATAATGGTGTATAACGGGAAAAAAAAAGTTATGTATTGTGTTATAGGACCATAACAAAAAATTGGTCGAAATGTGTCACCTCAATTGCTTTCATAATCTTGTTCCTTTAGTACGATCAAGGAAGCAAATAGAAGTGAAAGAAAATGCACATCACCGGTTCCAACCAAATATGAAAAAACATCAGAAACAATGTTACTTACTATGGATGAGATTTCAGCTTGAGAATGTAAACAATGATCAAGTACCGACATTAAGGACAAGAGTTATATTAGAGATAATGTGTCAGGTGAATGATGGAATTTTCTTACAAAACCTTCTATAGCCATATAGAATGGATTTAACTTCGCTTCAAAAAAACCCCAACATGGACATGAGTTAAAAACTAGTTTCTCCAACAAATAGACATATCAGGTACAATATCTTAGCATATCCAGAAACTTTCCAAAGTATGTAAATCAAAGAAAGTGAGATGTTCATCCTATGGTCAATACATATCTCACATATCCTTGTATAGAGTTGACAACAACGCTTGAATGTTGACATTGTTGACTAGGCATGTATAACCATCTGATTTCATCTGGTATACGACGACATTGTGGCCCTCATATAGATCATCCTATGCAGAGCAGCAAATAACTTGGTTCGCCAGTGTTGCTGCCTGATCATCACTCAAATTCTGCCGGAGTTTGTCCGCTATAATAGCAGCATCCTTTCGAGCACCACCACTTCCACAACCTATGACCTTAATTTTCTTCAAATCACATCCCCTACAGCCAACAACAGTGAACACGGGAAGCTGATAGTGATTCTTACGATGTTGGTGTCTGTGACTAAGCAAAGATTTATAGACAGTCAAAACAAATTAAGAAAAGACATGAAAGAAGATTGCACAAAAATTAAAAATATAATTGAAAAAAAAGTGTATTTAATAAAAGTTGAAGTTTCAAATCAAAAGAGAAAAAAATGATCAATATTAACAAGATATTTAGATGACACTATAGCTAGCAATTTGAGAAAATATTACCTTGGAGCATACCATGAAGAGAAAAAAGTTTGGGTTGGAAAAAAAATTAAAAGAAAAACATAAAAAAGTTTTTTTTGTAGCTTTCTAAACCTGAAGGGGACTTTGTTTAAAATTCTAAACGAATTGGGCTATTTTTTTCATTAAGTTTGGGGGCTTTTTGGTTAATAGAACTAAATCGACAAATAATTTAAAACTTAGGATGAAATTAACTAATTTACTATAATTTGGACTAAATCGACTACAAAAAGATAACTTGACTAAAAAACGATTTTTTCGTTGTATTTGTATTGTACTCTTTCCGGTTCTTATTATTAAGTATTTTGATTTATCTTTATTTTCACCTAATATGTTTTTTTTTTAAATTTAAAAATATCCTGATAATTAAGAGAAGACAATGAATGTTAAAAATTATCATTGTGGAAATTTTTTCAATGGAGAAACATAGCAAGAGAAACAAATTAAAATGCATCAGGACCGGAAGAAGTAATGTAAATAAATTTTGGCCAACATCAGGAAGACTACATAAAGAACACCTTCGACATGAAGAAATTAATGCATACGGATACGGTAAAGCCAAAGCAACTACAAAAGATCATAAAAGTCTTACCTTAGATGGAAAATGAACTTTTTGTCTTGAGAAATAACATAAGAGAATTTACAAAATGATGATAATTTGCCTCTAATAGAAGACAACTACACAGGTAATCCAGAGTCCCACTTCAAATCTTGCAGATCCCTGTATTCTGTCAACAATAATGTTCGGATGTTGAGGTTGTCCTGAAGACAGGTGTAACCATCAGATTCAGAGCTCAACTTGTACACGACAACATTGTTGCCTGTATTTCGATCACTTAATGCACCCATGCAAATAGCTCGGCTGGCCAAATTTGCCGCTTCATCATCAGTCAATGTCCGTGGTTTACCATCATCATCAATAAAAGGTTGGTGTAGTTCTCTATCTACGTAATTAAAAGCACTATCAGCACCACTCCCACAAGATTGTATACTTAGGGGAATCGAATAATCTAGACCATTCGCCTCAATCAGTACAGCCTTTTTGTCCTCGTCCCAACCGGCAATCACAATACTCGCTGAAGGAGGACACTGAATCTTCGGTGGCTCTTTCCCCTCTCTGCGGGCACGGTCAGCATCCTCCAGCCATCTACGTCCAGTAGCGACATAAGATGCATTTAAATGGCACTGCAATATACTTGCGCATTGAGGTGGGGTCATTTCTATCCCAAACCTCTCATGATACCTCTGGAACCGCTTTTCTAAAATCTGGAAAACCTCCCTAACAACATGCGAGTACCCAGAACATCCAGCAACCACACGCTCACTAAGAGACCTAATTTTGTAGGGGTAATCAAATACTAAAATGTCCCCGTTAGAACTGTCGCTGGTTGAACGGGTGTCAGATGCAATTATTTAACATGTTCCAGGGAGAGAACAGAGGACTTACCTCTCTTGAGTCGGTTTTAGGTGTCGGGCCAAGGACTGTGGGAGGTGGCAGGAGCAGTCAAAAGCGGGTTGGGTGCTTTAGCTTTCTTTATCTTAGGAGTCACTCCGCCAAGGATTTCAGCACTGTAATCAATTCCAATCCTCTTTCGCTTCTTCTAATTGAGATGACCGTCAATCCCGGCAGCCTTAGGTTCTCTCTTTTTCTGCAAATGAATAAAGTTAGATACCCTAGCACAAGAAAGTTGGTTGATGAACATAAAGAAACAGATGAAACAAACCGTCCAAGTGAAATCCATTCAAATTCACACTAACCAACAGAAAAAGAAAGAAAAAGAAAATGACATGTAAGCAGAAACAGCAAGCAAAGCAACCCTGCAATTCGTATGTATCACCATTAATCAGAAACGAGGGTTTTGCTACTACCTTTACGAGTTTTTACTCCTTTCCCCTAGAATTTTTAAAAACCTGTAATCCATCCATTTATGCAAACGAACCCAGACCCTACAACATGAAGGACTGCCTATACACGGAGTTTCAAATACTAGCAACAAATCAGATCTTCCAAATTAAAACAGAAATATTAAGCATAATAGGCGGATGGTCGAACGTCGTCAAATTCAATAAGGAAAAAGACCAATGCCAAGAACAAAAATCAGTACCTTTTTAATCGAATGATCAAGACTCCGAAACCAACCAGCTTTATCCGACTTGCGAGCAAACAGCGAAGCAATGCGCAGAAAACCCTTCATTCTGATCAACGATTCTAAGGTAACCAAGTGCGAAGATAGGTTTTCCTTTTCGTGATAGGGTTTCCAGAACTCACCACTCCAGGTTTCTGTCCTTTTTTTTTTTTTTTTTGATCAACAGGTTTCTGTCCTTCGACTTCACCCAGATGTACTCAGTTGCCCTTTCTTTAATTCTTTTCTCTTTTTGCTATTTTTGCCTCTCCTTTTCCTTTCTTTTATTGAACAATACCCGTGCGCTGCACGGTGATTTTTAGATATTATGAAAGTAAACTTGAAATGAAAAAAAATTATGCATAAAATGTCTCAAATTAATTCTATATGAAATGTGAATTATTAAAGTAATAAACCATATATAAGTAAAAAATTGTTTTAGTGATTGACGTTTTCACGCATAATGGTAATTATTTTGCAACTCACGGGGTGTTTTGAAACTAGGGATGGTGATAACAAATTGGTTAATCGACATTGATGAAATTTCGGAAGGATGACTTTGGGAGAGGAAGAAGCATAGGGGCAAAGAAGTACTTTGAAATTACTGGATATAAAATACTCCCTCTGTCCCATAACTATTGTCCAGTTTGGATTTTCATGTTTAGTTCAATTTGTACTAAAACTGAAATTCTAAACTGGACAATAATTTTGAGACAGAAGGAGTATAAAAAAATAAAAAATAATCATTTTTGTTTTTGTTGATACGAATGACGTTTGAATCCTTTTAAAGGGATTGAAGGAGTTTCAATGGACAGAAGCTATGCTCTCTTTTAATTATGAGTAGTTTGAGATATATTATCAGAATTTGAAAATAAAATATGCATTCAATAGAAGCATTGTGATTGAAGGATGGGATTCATTGGTTTGTAGTTGACGGAGGCTGGCGGAGGGAGGGAAGGAGAAATTTTTCGGCGACTCAAATTTGCAGCGGCGGAATCATTGAAACTAAAGAACCAACAATTAAAAGACGGAACCCCAGAAAAAAATGGTTTATCTTTAAACCCGGAAATAATGACCCAAAACCCGAACACAAAATTAAAGCACAAAGTAATAATCAACCAACCCTAATCTAAATTAACTTCTCCAGTTTATAGGTTAATTAAAAAAATTGGAAGAATAATTTGATATCTTTGCATCAGTTCACGATCTGTTTGAAGTTTGGATGATGAAAAAGTGAGTTTATAGAATTATTCAAACCGAAACTTTGCAAACTTTGCAAATAACAGGGTCGAAAAGACTATATATTTTATCAGAATTCGAAAATAAAGGAGAGAGCTCATCGAAACTGATTTATAATTGTA